TCCAAGTTTCCTCCCCATAGAGTAGAACTGTCTTGACATTTGTATTGGAAATTCTGACCTTGATGTTGGTTGACAGTTGCTTTGAGTTCCAGATGTTCTTCAGTTGTATATATGCTGCTCTTGCTTTGCCGATCCGCGCCTTCACATCTGCATCAGATCCACCATGTTTATCAATGATCCTGCCCAAACATGTAAAGGTGTTTACATCTTCCAAATCTTCTCCGTCAATTGTGATTGGATTGGTGCATGCTGTGTTGTATCGGAGAATCGTTCTTTTGTCTTAATATTTCATCAACACAATTAGAATATCCGACGGAATGGCTTGTTGACTGATATTATTCAAAACAATAATGAAAACACAATGGAATTGAATGATTATTTAATTCTACCTGATAACATTTTTAGCATTAAGTAATCAGTACTAAATTACGGTCAAACCCAGTAATTCCAAGTCTTGATACATTTGGTGCATCAGATCTTTGACTGTTTCTACCTGGTTTTCAGCAACCCTTCAGTTGAAGTTCAACTGTGGTGGAATTTTTCATTAAATAAGTGAAAAATATTTTACAAGACCATTAGATGCATTCCAAGTAAGGATCGGAGTCAGACAAGACTGTCTACTCTCTCCGTTCCTCATTCTTCTGGTGACCAACTGGATTACGAAACCCTCAACATCTGAGGGAAAACGCGGAATAAGATGGATAGCTCAGAACCAATTAGACGATTTCGATTTCTCAAATGACCTAGCCCTCCTATCGCACACACGAACGAATGCACATAAAGAAAGCCAGTGTAGCAGGAGTCTCTGCACCAGTAGGCCTCGACATACAGAAGGGTAAAACCAAGGTCCTCAAATACAACACAGAGAACAGCAATCCAACCACACTTGATGGCGTGACTCTGGAAGATGTGGAATCCTTCACATACCTGGGAAGCATCATCGATGGACAAGGAGGTTCAGATGCAGACTTAAAGGCGAGAATTGACAAAGCAAGGGGCGCATTCCTACAGTTGAAGAACATATGGAACTAAAAAACAACTGTCAACAAATATCAAAGTCACAATCTTCAATACCAACGTCAAGACAGTTAATTCCACTGTACGGAGATGAAACTTGCAGAACTACTACAATCATCATCAACAAGGTACAAGTATTTATAAATAGTTGTCTACGCAAATACTCAACATCCATTGACCGGAAACCATCAGAAACAGCCAACTGTGAGAGAGAACAAACTAGCTTCCAGTTGAACAGGAAGTTAGGAAAAGACGATGGAAATGGATAGAACATACATTACACAAATCATCAAACTGCATCACGAGGCAAGCCCTAATTTGGAATCATGAAGGGAAACGGAAAATAGGAAGGCCAAATAACACATTACGTCGGGAAATAGAATCAGATTTGAAAAGGATGAATAACAATTGGAAGGAGCTGGAATGGATTGCCCAGGACAGGGTTGGATGAAGAATGCTGGTGAGTGGCCTATACTTTTTCACGAGGAGTAACAGCAGTAAGTAATTAGATAACTGCATTAACTTGTTAAAGGTGCAAAATATATAGTGTGATAATACTTTACTAAAATTAGAGTTAATGATTTAAGGGCACATTTATAATTGATTGTGTACATTCGATTTTATTTTCTTAATTTATTTTGTGAGTTGTGTAGACATCAGTTTTTTTTCAGTTATTCATTTGATAACGTTTTCTGAAGTATGTACCTGTACAAAAATAATAACTTAATATTTGCTTTTCAGTAGAAATAAGTTATGTTTTGAATTTATGTTTTCTTCACCAAAGTCATCTGTCATTTTTTTCGCGTTTAAACGAGTTTATGTTGTTTTTTTCCATTTATATCTCTCTTACTACCGTACCTCTGACTGTACTCCCGGAGGACTTGTAACTGCACTTATAAATAATAATTGTAACCTTAATTGAGTTATCATTTGGTGTCTTCAATAAATATCTCCTCGAAATTTAACCTTAGAACACTTGGAATTAAAATTAATGGTAAATGTTGCGTATACTTATTAGTTTAGGAAAGTGAAGCAAGAAGTATTTGAACATTTTACCAATTATCATTAAATCTAAGAGAATAAGATACGTAGTTTTGTCCTCATATAGTATGTACTAAAAGAAATGTGACAACTCGATGTGTAGTCAGAAGAAAGCTAAACAATTGCTACAAGTCTTAGTTCCCATGACAGTACATTATACTATTGTAATGGGCGAAAACACAAGTGAGGCAGTCGAATGAATTTGAACGCAAAATTACAGAATCTCTTAGTAAAATTTGAGAATCATACAGTAAATACTCAATTAGCAAAATATCAATCATTTGTCTCAAACTTGACTGTTCCTTTTATAAATACCAGTCAGTCGTCTCAAATTTCATTGTGCCTGCATTTTCATACCAATTGTTTACCGTTGCCGTTCTTTCCTACTCTTTCTTCTACTGAAATACATTCTATTCCTGACTATTGTTATATACTACTTATGTGGATATAAGTAGCTCACATCACACTTGTCCACTTTTTAAAGCAGTCGTTCTTGCTGTGGTTTTGCTCACCGTGCCACTTTCCCCATTTCTGAAGTCTGTGCCACGCTCTCCGTCAAAATGTCAAGTCTGTGGTGCGCTGACATCCATAGCTCCATAGATCTGTCGGTGCAGCAACATCTGATATCCACCCGGCACCTGGGACGCTCTGCAGAAACCTGAGCCGCACGTCCCACCGCTCCTCTCCGTTGACATCACCCGCTACACTATTATTTTGTACGAATTGTCCCTTCATCCAATAATGATTATGTCGGACAGAATTAAACGTATGTTTCAGTCAAATTCACTGAATGGCTGTAAAATCCTTCCAGCATGCTGTTGAATATACTGTTGTTTAAATATCAGATAGCCATCTCCTAATAATCAATTTTCTACCACTCATTTTCATTAGTAAGAATAATCACAGTAGAAATGATCATCATTTGACAATATTCAATGGATAAATAAACAAAGTCGAGCATAAAATGAGTAACTATCCAAATAAGAGCAAGACTACGGATAACAATTTTATGAAGAAAGTCTTCGTATTTGATCTAAACTAACCTTAATGGTTTGAAATTGAAATGTTTCTACATATTATGGTTTAACAATATAAACTACAAGCATCGGAAACGTATTTTCTGGGAGCTTTCAAACATAAAGGCTCTAATTTTATCTAATTAAACATGAATCGTTGGTCATATCCATCGAATATTTTATTCATAAATCAGTCTAGTGGAATATTAAATTATGATGAATTATCAAACTTCTAAAACGTCTACAAAATTTGCAAGTATGTTTCAGAAATCACTTTTAGGGGATCCATCTCCGTAGAAGAAATTAATATCACTTAAATCAACACTACCTTTGATATCCTTTTCAAACTATACATTCTCTAATTCCTCACTTTTCAAAATTTACTAAATTCTTAAATACTTTATTACTTATGTCAGTATTTTCGTATAACAACCTATATATTTATCAACATTTTATAGGATTTTTCTAGCTGATCATCTCTAAGTTTCACTGTAATTCATACTTTTAGGTATATATCCTTCCAGAAAATTTAAAACTGCATTTTATTAACTATATTAGTTCCCACAGATACGTCTATCTTCAAGTTTACAAACCTTCATTAGTCAGTTGGTCTGTAAAATTACTTACGGTCACGAAACCAACGGTAGAATATTTCTATTTTTTATAAAAGAAAAATTGAAGCCTTTAGTATTTTCAAAACTTTTAACGGTGAGACTCTAATTTAGGGACGAAGCTTGGACGAATCTTAAATGACCTTGACAATTATTAGCCAATCAGAAGACAGTTAGTATAAAGTAAAAATATAAGAAAGTAATGAATTACAGTGGATAGTCTTCTTTTACATGATTTAAAAAATTGTTAAGGTTTGATAAAGGTTCCGAACTCCTGAAATCATAATGCATACGGTATAGAAACTCGTCCATATGGCTCCATAACAGTCGTCCCCTAGAGCCGTGGTATGGTCTTAAAAATTCCTTCAGTCTGGACCACATAGCTTCAATATTATTAGTATGGACGCCGGTTGTAGGGTCGACGAAATGGCGCTTGTGCACTACTACATGATGCACATGTCCAAGTCTATGTAGGCACCTATAAGCTCACCAATCATTCGTATATACTGTTGTGCCCGGCTGCACGTATTCCTGTATAATTGGTATTATTGTGTTTGCTTGCAGGTTTCTGACCCTCTTGAAACGTCCCTTTTGCGTTAATCGGTCATAAATTCCAAGTACCTGTCAAGTATATTTACGTAAATGCTACTTACCCATTCTTCCTTGATACTACGTCCCCTATTGTATTTTCGCTTTCTTACTACCGTTTCATCTATCTTCACAATGCATCCTACTCCTCCGAATGATTGGCGTAGGCGTGTCATTTTACTTGCACATATGTCACGGCAGTACTCATACCACTGGACTGCTGACGTTTCAGTAACATCTGCAAACGCCGCAGCCAGTGTCACTGGTGTTTTTATTACCCAATTTGCCACTATTATCATGATCTGCCTTAGTGTCAGTCGCGACCGAGCGAAGAAAGTCCCCGTTCGAGCAGACTTTTTCCTCCAACATGAAGAACAAGGAAACATAATCTCACCACGGTGATCTGCACACTTTGCTGGAGTCATTTGATAACCGCAGTCGCACGTACAAGAACTTCTTGATAGTCTCATCTGTTGTAGCCTCTCAATAATTACCTCTTCTCTAAAATTTGCTGTAAACCGATCGTATGTTAGCATCACCTGTTGAACTTGGCTCCATGACCTTGAAATTGCTCAAACGCTTCTGATTGGCTCGCCCTTAAATTAGAGTCTCGCCCTTTTAACTTATAAATTCTGTTACTAGTATACCAAATGAAATATACTTAATAACACCACCACCATCACTCCCACCACCCGTCTTTCTAACAAACAACTAAAAAAGTCGATCATTATATAATATGTTCTATCTAATAACAATTTATTCCCGCTTTCTTTGTCTCTCAAATGTATAACAAAATCACATTTAAAGTTTATATCAAAAATCAAAATGTTTCAGTAGTATTGAATACTTCAATGTAACATGATTTTTCACATTCATAATACGTTTTATCACAAATAGTTTTACAAAAATTCATTTTAAAACATTTATATTCACATGTCATAAATGCATATTGACATAATTGTAAACAATCTATTAAATGTTCACGATTATTCTCTGTAAGAATAATTCCTTCACATAACATAAATATCATTAAAGGAATGATTAGTATTAAATAAATACTATGATACATTCTTCAATATGATAATAGTCTTTGAAGGTTAATGGATTTGTATAAAATTTCTAAAAATATAAACATACAAATGATATGAAATCCAAGAAATATCAAAACAATTTCTTTTTAATTAGATAGTGAAAATTCCCATTTTGACATTTGGTAAATAAAGAAGGAATGAATTGAATGAAGAAATTTCTTTCAATTAGTTATTCATCATGGCTCTACACTATTATATATATATATATATGATTTACAGTAATGAAATAATACTCATCGAGTGGATATGTTACGTATTAATTACATAATAACATTTCAATTATTAAGCAACGTAGCAACTTCTTGGTTTTCCACTAATTACTTTGATTATAAGCAAAGATGGATAGTGGCTAGCAGTGGAATGCAGGATGCTCGTTTCGTCTTATTTGGGACTCGTCAGTTGGATGTACCTGCATCCCACAGTTAATGTTCACTGTGGCGCTCAAACCCAGTACCGTTCACTTCAAACGCCATCGCGTTATCTACATAGCTACTGAGTTCTGATAGCCACTTGTGCAATGAGGTGAAGCAAACGGTACTCGATTCGAGTCTCAGAGTGAACATCAACTCTGAGATGCAGGTTCATCCAGCTGATGAGTCACAAATAGGACGAAACGCGCATCCTGGATTCCACTGCTAGCCACTACTCATCTTTGCTTATAATGCTTGTAATGCACATATACCAATAAGGGACTGATCACTTTCAGTCCTAAACATCAATGGGAAGATTCAAGTAAAACACTACCAGGTGAATTAATTACTTTGATTATTATTAATCCTCTTTCTTCCAATTACTCAATGTTAATTTATAAATGAAATGTCATTATGCAATTGTTACGTAACGGATCCACTCGATGAGTATTATATCATCATTGCAAATCATACATATATAATAGTGTAGAGCCATGATGAAAAACTAATTGAAAAGAAATTTCTTCGCTCAACTCGTTCCTTCGTTATTTTTTTAAAATTATAGTTGTTTTCTTTGATAAACCATGAATCCTACATGAGGATCAGTAACATTACTTGATTGTATGAATAAGATTCAAGCTTGTAACTGAGTATTTAAAATTTTGATATTTTAACTATTAATTTATAGGTCACTGAAAATCATGTAATTTAAACTATAAAATAATAAAAAGTTATTGAATATAACCTTTTATAGTTTAGTTATAATCAACTACAATTCGAAAATACCGTTTTCTTTTTTTAAAAAACCCTCCTTACATTACTTTGACCACCCATTTAATCTCAGTTTGCAGTGGTGTCACAAAGTGAATAATTTTATAAAAAGGTTATTTCACTACATAATCCATAACTATTTCAGGTTTCCTTGTTTGTATTCGTCAATATGATCAATATTCTATCAATTATTCTAACATTTATTAGCTAGTTCCAGAAAGCCAATCTTTAAGAAATAATTCAACACAATGTTGGAACATATATTCTCTAGTTTAGTTATTAGCAAAAGCTGATATATATATATATATATCAAATGATACTACTGCACCGATACTGCATAAGTGTTCAGTGGAATTCTTATTTCTCAAATTTTGATTTGTCCACGTATTGAATCAGATTTAAAATAGAAAGAGTTCATTGAAGAGAGATCATAAATAAAAACACCTAATTTGATATATTTTCTTGCATAAACAAATTGCCAATAGTGTTTCATTTAGTAGAGATTCCCAAAATCTTTAATGAATATAAATATATTAAAACTAAGATTTTTGAACACTCAATAGTTGTATTTAGTTTCTTTTAGTTGAATAACCAGAATGTCGAAATTCAAAACATTAGAAACTGTACATTTTAAGTTTTGTTATTCATAATATTCATTCCCTTAAGTAAGTATGAGTATAAACCGTGTTTTTGTGATCGTTTATTCGGTTAATAACTACCACTAAATACAATTGAATGTTATAATCAAATTACTTTTCACTAACTTATGAAGTTTAACCCAGACATAACATTTCGTGTTACTTTCGATTTGTAATATTTGGTAATTATGCAATGTGAAAACAGACTGTTCATCTATGTATACATATACATATATGCCACTGGGTAATACAGTGTGAATAGATACATAGATTATTGATTATATGTGTAGTTTAATTACGTGTGGTTTTGAAAAGGTCTTATATTTACTTTCATCATCTGTCATTCAGAAGTTTTCAGACATTAGACGAGTATAATACCGAAACTAATTTTTAAGTGGAATTTTCATATATCCATGTTTAACCTTCTCTCTTCATTGTATATCTTTTTTCAGCAAGTCATTATATCAGGATAACATGCAACAATAAAAATTAAGATTTCAACTATACACTTTTCATAAACATCATCTACAAAATAGTTTTTTAGTGTGTTATTATTAATTATGAACTGTTGAAATCATTTCACTAAACATCATGTATATATATATATATATTTTCACAAATGAAATAACGATCTTTTATTTCAATATCTTTGAAACAACTAATCACTAAATTCACTTGGTGTTGTTTTACTCGTATTTTCCCATTGTTATTTAGGAATGAAATTGATCAGTCTCCAATTGGCATATGTGCATCCTATGCGGACTACCTCGATATTACCTTGATTCACAAGCTTTATAAGCAAATATAGATAGCGGCTAGCAATGGAATCCAGAACTCGAGTTTCGTCCTATTTTGGACTCGTCAGCTGGGTGTACGTGCATCTCACAAATGATGTTCACTTTCGGGCTCGAACCCAGTACCGTTCGCTAAAGGACAAAACACGCGTCCTGGATTTCACTGCTAGCCGCTATGCATCTTTGCATATAATGCTTGTAAATTAAAGCAATATCAAGTTAGTCCGCACAGGATGCACATATGCCAACAAGAGACTCATCAATTACATTCCTAAATAACAATGGAAAGATACAAATAAAACAACACCAAGTGGATTTCAACTTCACCCCATTGCTATCAGGACTCAGTAGCTAAGTGGATAACGCGATGGCGTTTGAAGCGAACGGTACTGTGTTCGAGTGCCATAGTGAACATCAACTGTGAGATGCAGTTACATACAGCTGACGAGTCCAAAATAGAACGAACCGTGCGTCCTGCATTCCACTGCTAGCCACTATCCATCTTTGCTCAATAATAATAATAATAATAATAATAATAATAATAATAATAATAATATGGAAATTGCTGAGGAGAAGTTATTAATGATAAACATTGAAGAATACTATGCCTTTCATGAAAGTACTTTTCCATGTCAATAAACAGAAATGTTAAAAAACAAACAGTTTAAAGAGAAAAAACAACATCCAACTGTGCAATTAATGAATAATCATTAATAATAAAGAAAATCTTTGACTAACAGTAGTTAAATCAATGAAACTAAATGAAAATTTGATAAGTAAATTAGAAAAAGAATATAACTGGTTGTACAGAATAATAAACAAACTCGTCGTGTTAGATAAACAATTGGATTGATAAGAGAATATACTGATAAGCTACTACGATATAAAATGTATAAAACAACTAAAAATACTATCACTACTGATTAACAGTGGTAAGTAGTATAGAATTCAAAATATGATTCATAATCTTAATGATTTGAAGATAGTTTCTATCATTGGCTGATTTTAGCTAGAAAATTATAGGAAGTTAGAAAGCATAAGATAGCTGTTTTGTTCTTATTAGATACTCTATAGGAATGTACACCTACAGTTTTACATATGATAAATATGAGGGATTTCTACTCTTTGAGGTAATATAGATTTAAACCAATGAGTAAAAATGTAGGTGTTCCTACTTTCAACTTTAGTCAAAGAACTCTTACTGTCATCGAAGATTAAAAGTATCGACTTCTAAGTTTTAAAGCTTTGTTATTTTCCATTTGTCAGTAATGTTGAAATCTCGATTAGTCGATAAGAATATAGTATAAGAAAGAGCCGAAAGCAATAGAGATAAATTCATAGCCAGTTCTTAATCGATCGGAAAACAACTTCTGTTAATTTATAGTTTGTGGATAATTGAACAAAAATATTGCATTGGAAAAGACATGTTTTATGTCATCAATAAAGCCAGGAACAGTTCACACAGGTTACTCTACCTATAAGTTGAAAAAAAACACAATAATATCTAAATCCGTCTGTATGTGTGTAGGTTGTCCATCTCAAACCCTTATAAGGACCCAGTTGGATTATTAGTAGTTCCTACATTGTTCTTGGTTAAAGTTACGATTTTTTATTGAAATCTGATATAAGCTGTAATGCAAACTATTTTATAACCATATGAATATGAATGAATGAAATGTAATTAAAAGTCCAAGAGGTACTACCTCATATCTGATTAGTGCGTTCATAAATTTTGTTATTACCGTGTCTAGAGCTAAGAATTGAGGTTATTATTGGCATCCCCGTTACATGCAATATACATAGAAAGAGTTAAGAATATGATGCATTCATTGCTATCATTACTACTCTGTGGTATCAAAATACAACCCTTCTTTATCATTTTAAACCTCCCAAGGTATTTCAACTGATGATTTCACGTGATATAACTTAACAGTCATTTATTTTTGAGTTTTTTAAATAAAAGATTAAACGTCAATTTCCTAATTGGGATTGATTCATTTCTAGACTATACATTTGCTGAATTAGTCATCTCACTCATTTGATTATGGCAAACATTTATTTATTTATTAGCTTTATTCAATACAGTATTTCTTGGTACAATATAGGGTTCTCAGCACGAAGTATTTCAGCGAGTTTCCGTTTTTTTCTTTCTTGATTGATATTGACGATAAACACTGAGTGATCAACATTTAGATATTAGCATTTCATAAGTCGACATCTCAATAATATTCATTCTTTTCAATACATATTGCCAACCATCACGATGTCTTCGATTGTACATTTTTGTAACTTGTACAGCGAAAGGTTGTACCCTTTTCACAAACACACCTGAATATGTTATTCAATTAATTGACATAATGATTTGTTAAAACAAACAAGGAAACCGATAACTTGTTGAAATATCTAGATGGCAGG